CAACAGATGCCAGTGTACTTCTCCTGAAATACTTAGCTCACACTTTATTAATTAGATAAGAGTTCAATGTTTGTTTACAATTTTTCTGTTAATGCAAAATATAAAATGAAATGCCTGGATCTCAAGTGTATAATCACTTGAGTTTTGAAAACGCAAATATATATATGTAACTCAAAGCACCATCAAAATATAAATGCTTCCCATTATTCTAGAAAGTTTCCCTGAGCCTCAGTCAGTCCCTACTTCCATATTCCCAGAAGCAATTTCTTTGGGAATTCTTTTTTCTACCATAGATTAGTTTTGCATGTTCTATAGTTTCATGCAGATAGAGCTGCATAGTATGGTACTCTGGAGATTCATTCATACTGTTTTGAGTCATTTTGATTGCTGAATAATATTCCAGTGTGTGACTATACCACATTTTATCTGGTCTCTTATTGATACATAACTGCGTTGTTTTCAAGTTTTGGCTGTCATTAATAAAATCACTGAACATTTGCATACACATTTTTTGTAAACATGTTTTTATTTCTCTTGGTAAATACAAAGAATGAAGTTGCTGAGTCATAGGACAGGTTTATGTTTAATTTTACAAGAAATGGTCAAACGTTAGAGACTATTTTTCCCAAAGTGGTTGTAAAATTCTGTCCTCTCATCAGAAGCTGAACAGTTTGGAATGTTACTAAGAATATAAAAACAACTTCATATAAATAGATTCATTAAAATAGATGAAAAGAGACCCTCTACCTTGTGACACATTAATATCTATAGAAATAGAAGGCCAACAAAACTATTAAAGAAAACATCTAGAATAGTCCTATAACTATTAAAGATATTTGATTAGTAAAATTTTTCCTATGAAAGTAAACTACTCAAAATCCTCAATTCTAGATAGTTCTATAGATGTATCTAACAGACATTTAAGAAACAACTAATTCTATCCTACGAACAATGATACGAAAGGTAGACCCAAGGAAACCTGTGTGTGTGGGAATTTGATAAATGCAGGGCACAGGTGGTGTTCGCTGGTCACCGGGGAAAGGTGTGGCTGTGGCCACGTTGCCCTATCGAAAAAGGAAGCAAGAACTCTGACATGGCACACACATAAAAAGTAGTTCTAAATGAATTAAAGACTCAAATATGAAAGAAATAGACAATTTATAGAGAAGATATAAGAGTTTATTACTGTGAATTGAGAAGCGTTTTTAAACATTTTCTTTATTCATTAATTTTATTGGTACATTTTAGGTAAACAGTATGCTGACATTCATTATTGGGAATTTGTACCTTTACATAATATATCTTGGTTCTTATTTTTTCCCCATTCCCCTGCCCTCTGTTCAACTCTTCCACTCCTCCCTATTTACAAAGACCTCTATTTTTTCCTTTTCTCATATTTATTCCTTTCCCTTCTTTCCTTTCCCCTACCCCTCCCATTTCCCCTTCTCCTTTGGACCTTTTCGGGGAGAAGGATTTCTTAAATAACACAATAATCTTAATAAGTTTGACTTCATTAAAATTAAGGACTTCTGTTTATCAAGAGACCATAAGGAAAGGTACAGTGTAAAAAACAAGCTGAAAGAAGATACTGCAACACATTTCAGTAATTAGCAAACTCCTAAAAAGTGAATGAAAAGATAACATAGTAGAAAAATTAGCAGATAATACCAACAGATTTTCACAGAAGAATCAACAATAAAATAAAAATTTGAAGACAGTCCATCTCTGCGTTAGCTTTCTATTACTATAACAGAATACTTAAAATAATCAACTTATAAGGGAAAAGGTTTATTTTGGCTCACAGTTTTGGAAGTTTCAGTTCATGATCAGTTGGCTCCTTGGGTGAGTAGTAAAGCCACATGCACATCATAGTAGTAAAGCCACAAGCCACATCATGGCCCAGAAGCAAAAGAGTAGAAGAGGAAAAGGCCAGGATCCTATAGTCCTTTGGAGGCATCCTCTCAGTGACCTAAAGATCTTCTATGAGGCCCCACTTCTTAAGGGTTCTGCTGTCTCTCAGTAGTGCCATTAACACATGGGCTTTTGGGAACATTCAGCTGAGACTATATCAATTACTAATCACAGAAATCTAAATTATAGCTACAGTGAAACACCTTTTTGTATCTTCTAGTCTAGCAAATATTTTGGTTTTTCAATTCCATACTATTTAGCGAGATTGTCATCAATGGAAATCCTTAACTATTATAGCTACAAAGAGATATAACTACCTTGAAAATCATTTTGTCCACTCTCTGGTAATGTTGAAAATGGGCAGACTTTGAAAACCTAACAGTCACTTGTAGGTGTATTTACTAGAAATTTTTATACATGTCCATGAAACATGTATGTAAGTGTTCCTAGCATTACTTTTTATGCTAGCAAAACCTAATAGGGTAAAATTGATAATTGTAGTATATTTAGGCGCTGGAATGGAAAAAATTTTTGCTTTTATATTAACATAAATATAAAATGGTCAAAAACATGCAAAACTAAACTATACATTGTTTGTTATATTCATTGTTATTCATTTGTTATATTCATGTACAGTAAAATTTAATAATATGATACCCACAAACTTCAGAATGATGGTTACCTTCAAAGTTGGCAGGGAGATGGATGTATTTGAGGAGGGGGCATACTTCAGTGTCTGTTAATGTTCTCTTCATTAAGTTGTATTGTAGGCCCATGGGCATCATTTTTTATTATTCATCTTTATATCTTACACACACATAAGTATTATTGTGTATATCAAATAAATCAAAATAAAAAATAAATTCTGATGCTAAAATAAAAAAGGTTAAGAATGGACAGGAAAAATTTTTCTACTAGTCTTGAGAACTTAAGGAAAATTTTATGTGGAGGTATTATTTTCCAAAAGTGAGAATATTTTTTACAGATTACTTGTTTTTCTAATATTCCTGGTAAGCTGAGTTTAGGTGAATAGGCAGGAATTTGGGAGCCAAGAGGATGGTGGTTGAATTGGGATTAGCAGTATTATGGGTCTGGCCTAGAAGCATTATCAGAGTACCATTGCTAATTTCTGCTTCTATTTATAACTGTTTTATAAATCAATAGTGACAAAAACGATGGGATGCTTACTATGTGCCAGTCATCACACTGAGCATTTAATATCATTCTTACCTCAATCCTCAGTCATAAAGTGTAGGTACTATTGTTTTCCCATTTTTACAGATGAAAAAAATTAAAACTTAAACCAGAAAACTTGTCTGATCTTGCATAGCCTTAAGTGGGCTTAGCTTGTGTGTTGAGTATCTATTAATGGCAAAAGAAACTACCACAGAACTTAATGGTTTGAAATAATAGGCAGAAAAATATCTTCTATAGACATTTGGGCTCTTGCCTACTGTTGAAAATAAACTTTTATTGATACACAGGTAGATTCTTTTTTAGGTGCAATTATAGATGCTTTTGTACTACATTTCAAGAGTAGTTGAATAGTTGCACCATAATGCCAACAATATTTACTGTCTGGTACATTACAGGTTTGCCGCTTGCTGATTTGCAACCATGACCATCTTATTTCCTTACACTCCTGGTTGGGCAGTTTTGCTCATTTGGCTGCATTCATTTGGTGGCTGGGCCACGGCAGAAGTTCTGAAAAGGCTCCCTTCAGGTGTTTGGTGCCTTGGAGCTCCTGCACATGATCTTTTTTCTTTTCATGTGGTGAGCTTGGGCTCTCCTGTTGTTTGGTACTCAGAATTTCACATAATGGCCGACTTCCAAGATGGAGCACTTGAGGAGGTGAAAAGTAGAAGCAGGAGATCTTTTAATATCTGGCCTTGGAAGTTGTACAGTATCACTCCATCCTGTCCTACTGATCAGGCCAGTCATTGGGTGACCTCAGATCCAAAGGGAAGGGAAATGGGAAAGAGTCAGACCAAACTTGCAGCCATCATTCATCTACCACAACAGTGTTAAATTCAGCTCATTCTGACACTGGGGACTTATCAGATTTGCAGTATTGTATGAGGAATTAATTATGGAAGAAGGATGGACTCTCCTGCTAATGTTTTATGTTAATATTATATAGAAAATGAGTATTCATTAGAAATTGATAACACCTTACAAATGCATAGTAATTTGTAGTTTTTGTAAATATATTCACAGATATTTTCTTGCTTGAGTCTCAAAACAAAATAAAAGCAGAACATATTTTATTTCTTATATTTCACTACAGAGGAAACTGAGCCTCTGGAAGGTTAAATGACTTGCCTGAGATCTCAAGGCAAGAACCTAAGTCTTCAGATTCCTTGTCCAGAATATTACTATATTACTATAACTTTTTAAATTAATACACTGAGTAATTTTGGTGTATTTACACATGGCCTATCATTTAGGTGAAAATTTAGAAAATACAGCTATCAGGGAAGAGCTTTATTACCATTTCTGTTTGAAAATGGCAGATGAATAAAGACACAGCAAGGTAATTTAGAGGTCATGATGCTTTTGCAGCGGTTAGTGACAGTAGAGATTGAAGTTTGGGGACTGTAAATACAGCTCCCATAGGATTTTTCAGCAGTAGCTATCTAAAGCAATTTGTTTTGGTTTCAGGCTTTCAGAACTGTCAACCTAGAGCCACATTATGAATGATCAGGATATTAAATTGACCTTTCTTAATATTCTAGATATTTCTGATACTGTGCATATTTGGTGTCTAGAAGGAAAGAGAACCAGTGACATCAGGGAGTTGGATATTGTTTTGTCTGCATTTGAGAAAACCATCCTAGAGTATAAGTAAGTCTGATGTTGTGATACTTGAACCTAATAAATCTCCCTTGAGGCACTACTTTTACTTATCCCACAGTATTTAATATATAGTGTTTTCATTATCATGATGATTTAGATAATTTTACGTTTCCATAATATGCCAGGATACATACATTTATTAGGCTAATTTCAAGTATTGGATCATCTATTCTAAACTGTTTCTGATAGACTGATCTTATGTGTATTTTCCTTTGGAAATAGTTGTTTTGCTTCCACCTTTGAGCTTGTTTCCTCCAGGGCTGTGGGCTTCTTGGTCCATGTGTAAGTTCCTGACAGTTCCTGTCAGCTCCCCTGAAAGAGATAGGGGCACATAAGCCCTAGGTTGGGAGTCTCAGTCACTCAGGACACAGAGAAGGCTGTCAGGTCCGGGCTTCACATAGCCTCCAGAGAGAGGCAGTATGGGGAGTAGATGGATAGGCAGTCATTCTCTAGCCTGGGGATTCAGCAGAGAACAGCGAGGAGGGAAGCAGCTGCCCCAAATTAGTCTCTACCTTTTTTTCTCCAGGCCTTATAATAATCACAGCCTGGTTTTATTCTTTCCTTCCCCTCCCCTCCACTCCACTCGCCTCCCCTCCCATTCCCTTCTCTCTCCATAATAAATTCCTAAAGTACAAAACAAATAACAAAGTTGTTTCCAAAAGGGTAGCCTGGCAGAGTGAGCTGAGGGATGTGGACTGGCCAGCCACGCCTTGAACACTGCTGGCCTCCCTGAGAGCAGCATCCACAAGGCTGGCAGCAAGCAAGGGCAAAAGACAGGAACCCCGAGGGGCATGGAGTCAGCAGAGTAAGGAACTAGCAGCTCTAGAGACCAGGGGCATGAAGCACGCGGGCAGAGGCTCCAACACAGGGGTGGGAAAAAAAGCAGGAAACAAGGAGAAAGGAGGAACTTCTCCTGTGAGCCATTCTGCATTTAAACCAGGAATATTCCTCAGTTCTGCTCCAAAACTAAGCCTGGTTCCTCTCACTCTGCTCTGGGGATTTGTCCACCACCTGCCTCCGCAAACAAGGCTACCATCCACAGAAGGGGCATCATGAAAATCTAGAAAGGTTGGACTTGCCTCCAAGAAGGAACTCCACATAAACCCACATTTGAGGCCCCACCACCAATATCATGGTCTTGGACTTCAGTTAATAGAGCTAACTTCCAGGGGATTCTAAGGCAGCTGTGGGGAAGAACCAGTAAAACCTGGCACACAGTTCTGTCCAGCTCCAGAGTGGAGGTGGTGGGAGAAATTCTCAACAGTACTATAGAATATGCCTGTGGATGCTGGACATTTGTGATCCACTAACCTCAGTCAACTACTCCTAGTCCTTCATCTAATCCCCTTACTCTCAGATCTGGTCCGTGGTCTCCCCTGAAGACTTTTGGGGCAGAGTGCTGTCTATCCAGGATGCTCTGTTTCTATCACCAGTGAAATCATATTTGGTGACATTTAAAATACCATTTTGTAATTTAACTGTTCCAATAGGTGTGAAATGTAGAAGTATTCTCTTATTGTAAAAACAAAGTGTACCATCAAGCATTTATCAGTGTTCAGTAGTATTAACGATTTGCACCTTCTTGTGCAACACAGCTCTAGCACTTAACTCATTTTGCACAACTGATACTTTATACACATTAAACAATTCACCATTTCCCCTCCCCCACAGTGGTCACTAGCTACTTTGTCTTCATAAATTTGATTACTCTAGGTCTCTCATATAAGTGGAATCATATAGTGTTTGTCCTTCTGTGACTGGGTTTTCACTTAGCACAATCTTCTTAAGGTTCATCTATGTTCATCCATGCTCTTGTGTCAGAATTACTCCGTTTCAGGATGAATAATATTCTATCATGTGTATACCATATTTTCTTTGTCTGTTCATCAGTGGACACTTGAATTATTCTCACTGTTTGGCTATCACAGACATTAGTATACAAATAATCTGAGTCCCTGCTTTCAGTTCTTGTGATTATATACTCAGGAATGGAATTTTTGGGCCATATGATAGTTCTGTATTTAACATACGCACAATGGGGGCATAATTCATATGTCTCGCTGCTGGGCAGCTTGAACCACCAATAGTATATTTGTGACTGTCCCATCAGGCGGCTTTTTATTAATTTTATTAGTAAAAAGACCAACGAAAGTGACGAGGTCCGTTTGTATCACCAGTGGTTACCCCCTGCCTGATGGGACAGTCATGCATGTACCACCAGTGGTTCAAGCCTGTGGGAGCATGTTAATATTTTTGAGGAACTGCCATATTGCTTTTTGCAGAACTATACCACTTTAACTTTCCACCATCGATAGAACTTTCAGTATTTCTATGTTCTTGTTAACATTTATTTTCTGATTTTTATATATAATTGCCATACTAATAGGTATAAAGTTGTATTATGGTTTTCATTTGCATTTCCCATGTGATTAGTATGATTCCCATGTGCATGGTAGACATTTGTATATTTCATTTAAAGAAATGTCTGCTCGTGTTTTTTGTCCATTTTTGAATTGGATTCTTGTGTGTGTGTGTGTGTGTGTGTGTGTGTGTGTGTGTGTGTGGTTGAATTGTAGGAATTTTTAAATATATTCCAGATATTATCCCTTTGTTAGAAATATAGTTTGCAAATATTTTCTCCCCGTCTTTGGGTTGTCTTTTCATTGCTTTGTTTCCTTTGTTGTACAGTTTTGTTTTGTTTTGTTTTTATTAACTTTATTGGTACATTTTAGGTATAAAATACAGTTACATTCATCATTGGGATCTTGTACCATTACATGAGTCTCTTGGT